TCTCTCTCTCACACACACATACACACACACATACACTCTCTCACATGTACACACACACATACACACACTCTCTGTGTCACACACACATGCCTTTGTTTTTATCTATGTACATCTTTACTTCTACTTTTTCATCATGTGGATCTATGCCTGTATTTATATATAGATCATACACACACACACACACACGCACACACACGCACACACACACGCACACACATGCACGCACACACACGCACACACATGCACACACACATAAAATTTATAATCTATCATCTATCTAGAAAGCACTTTATACTGCTAGTTCTTAGTCTTCAATTTACACTAAACATTTTGGTGAAATATTTCTCCTCCTTTGCCTCCTTTGTCTCCCTCTTCTCCTTCTTCTTTCTCTGTCTCTGTTTCCTTCTTCTCCTCTTCTTCCTCTTCTTCCTCCTCTTCCTCCTTTTCCTCCTCCTCCTCCTCCTCCTCCTCTTCCTCCTCTCTGTCCTCCTACTCCTGGTACAGTTTCCAAGGTTCTGTATATCATGTGTACAGTGTGTTCCATCCTGGCTTTTGTGTCTCCTGCAACATGCTATCCTAGCCAGCACTCTCGCCGGGTCTCTCCCAGGAAGCATGTGTAAGGTAGGTATGGAACACTCAGGGAATTCATGCTTGGTCACCAGGTCACTAATCACAGGCAACTGTAGTGATACCCTCTGCCAGCAGAATATATTAATTGTCTGGATTCCTATCCTAAAGGTGCTGCCAAGAACTCTTGCCATTCCTTTTGTTGAGGTATCCAGGAGTTTGGGACTCCCTCCTATCCTGGTCCACTCTGACCTGGTGCTGACAAACTGGACCAAAAGGAACCCAGAGGGGTAAGGAGGGAAAGGGTTCTTCAGATAGCAACAGACTGAGGTTCAGGAAAGACTCAGGACTTCAACTGTCCTCACAGAAAAGGCTCAGGGTCTTAGGGCTACTTTATAGTGAGTCATGTACGCCCATTCATTTGCCTTAGGGGTCCAGTGAAAGCGAATACACACATTTAAACCTGAGATGCTTCTTCTTCCTGGGCTCTCGGCACTCTGGCTTGCTGCTTCCAGTTCCCATCTGGATTCTCGATCGGACCTTCAGCCTGCAGTTGTAATAATCATGCTGGGCTGTTGTTTTCTCAGCATGTTCCAAGCTCCACTCAAGTCAGGCTAGGACTGGCTGTCAGGGGGTGATCCATGTGATTATAAACGCCAGGTCTGTGGGATTCTGATTTGCGCCTTTGATTCCATCTAGTTTACACCATTCCACAGTTGTCCTGGGCACAAAAGCATTTATCTATTGACTTCTCAACAAACAACAAATCCATGGAAACTTCCTTTTCACAGTCAAATCTGTCTCAAGTGATCTACGCAAGGCAGCATTTACTTTTGTAATCAATTAAAGCAGCAAAAGAGAAGTTGAGGCTGGACGTAAAGGGACCTTCCTTGACATGATGGCTGTAGGTAGCCATGCAGTGCTAAAAGAGATGGTTGAGATCTGCTGTGGACACTTCCAAGAGACCCTTCCTTGTAAGAACTGGGGAGGGCTCTTCTCATCTAAGGACTAGTGAGCCTTAGAACTTTGTGCTTTCTAGGATGATGATGTCATATGATGATGATGTCATATGATGATGTCATATGATGATGTCATATGATGGTGTTATATGATGTCATGGTGGTGATGTCATATGATGTCATATGATGGTGGTGCTATATGATGATGTCATATGATGATGATGTCATATGATGATTGTTATATGATGTCATATGATGGTGATGTTATATGTTGATGCTATATGAAGATATCATATGATGGCATCATATGTTGATGATAAGTTTGTTGGTGACTGGGGACTAAATGAACCTTCACATGTGAAGCAGGTGCTTCCCCCTGCTTTGTATCCCCAGCCTTCTTCAGCATTTATTTAGATACAGTTTCTCACATAGCATTTATTTAGATACAGTTTCTCACACAGTGTTTATTTAGATACAGTTTCTCACAGAATGCCCAAGCTGACCTGAAATTCACACTGTAGCATAAGCAGTCCTTGACTTGGTGATCCTTATACCTCAGTCCCTTGACTATCCGGAACGAACCACATACACAATCAGGCCTGGCTTGATCTTTGACCAATTATACAGTAATAAAAAAAACTGATCAGCACTGAAAGGTACTAAATCTAGCTTAGAATTGGAGCGGGCAAGATGATGAACATATGTGCCTGAACCATTGTGGTGACTATGAAGCTGAGTTTATGATTCAAGAGAAATAGAGAGGAAGTTTGAAGGGGAATGGATCTGCACTGGGGTGACAGGGTTGAAAACAACCACAGGAAATGAATGTCCCAGCAAGTGAGATACAGGGCCCAGGATGGAGATGCAGGCCTGGGGCTTCCCCACCATATTTCTTCTGGGCGATCTTCTTCCTGAGTCTTTTAAGGTATCTACCCAGAGCTTATTAATGCTTTGAAGAAATGAAAGAAACAGAAGCAACCCCCCACCCCCCAGCAGTTCAGTATTGAGACAGAGCAGCCCATGATGGATGTCAGAAATCAGAATAAACAGTATGTTTAGAATTCCAGGAGAACAGCAGAGAAAGCCTGGTGCTGGGGCAGATGCTGATCTAAGGTCCCTCCTAATAGGTGGGCAGGATTAGAGTAACTGGAATGGGATCTACACTGAGAGACATCTGAAGAGAAGCAAGCCTGAGTGTGTGCCTGTACAGAGGCACAACACTGTCACTGTCAGCTGAGATCTGGTTTCTGCAGTCTCCCAGTGGCTCATTGTCCATCCTAGGTGTGTGTCAATACATACACGTGCCTGGGTATTACAGATGAGTGTGGGAGCCTGGGTACCTGGGACCTCAAGAATTATATCTGGTTATGAACTGAATTGTTGTTTTTTTCTTTTTCTCTTTGTCATCGCCAATAACTACAACGCGACCAGACCATTGGAAATAGGGTAAGATGTCCCTGTAGAACCACCCACTGTTACCTTTAAAAGCTCTTGATAAAACGAGGCTGGGGAGCATGGCCAGCTGTACGGACAGCACAGCATCAGCTGCCTATGAGCTTGTGAAAACTCGAAGAAATGTGTTAAAAAGTCAATAGTTCAAGCATTATCTCTGATGGAGGCTACCTTGTAAGGGTTCGGGGATCAAATTTTCTTAACCACATGTTCCTGTCTGTCCACGGTAAAATGTGTAGTGTAAGAAAACAACAAACCGTGACTCCGTAAAAACTCACAGAGATTTCTTATCTCTGTAGAACGTCTGCAAAAGGCCAGATACAGGCAGGTCACAGTGACAGGAGGGTCCCTTTGAAATCCCTTCTCACCTGATGGACTGGAGCCCTCGTGGGTAGGTCTGGTCTATAGTCATAGGCTCCTGGGGGGCAGAGCTGGAAGAGAAGCCACAGTTGCTCGCTGCTCACACACCCTCCTCAGCTCTGTGAAGGATGAGGGTGGCAGGCAAAGATTCCCCAGGCTAACACCTCTACTGGACCGTGGCCATGCGTGACTCACATCCGCTTTGCTGTTTTGAGGTTTGAGCCTTGGCTTTGCTTTCTCTTGAGATGCTGTGGACAAAGCAGATGTGTGCCACTACTCATCTGGGTTACGAATCAGGTCAGATTTGGATCTGATGGAAAGGCAGGTAGATGGCAGGTTGATTAGAAATGACCCTACTTTCTCTCTCTTTATTTTTTCCTTCTCTCATATATTACATTCTAAGCACAGTTTCCCCTCCCCCACTCCTCCCAGTCCTCCTCTCACCTCCCCTCTCCCCTAGATCCACTCCTACTAGCCTCCCCCCCCCCCCCCCCCAAAAAAGCAAGCCTCCCAGAGGTATCCTCCAAACATGGCCTGACAAAGTTCCAAATAACAGCCCCTCATATCAAGCCTGGATGAAGCAACCCAGTAGGAGGAAAGGGGTCCAAAGAGCAGGCAGAAGAGTCAGAGACACTATGCCACCCTCACTGTTAGGAGTTTCACAAGAACACCAAGCTACAGACAACCACAACATATGAGCAGACGGCCTAGGTCATACCCATGCAGATTCTGTGACTACCACTTCAGTCTCCATGAGCCCCCATGATCCCTGCTTAGCCCTTGATTCTGTGGCCTGTGTTCTCACAGTGTCCTTACCCCCTCTGGCTGCTACAATCTTTCCTGCCCCTCTTCCCTAGGGTTCCTGGGGCTCCACCTACTGTTTGGCTATGGGAATGACAGGCTTCCAGCCCCTGCTCTGTGGCACCATTTCATCCTAGTTAGAGCTCTAGTCAGGTACAGAGGCACACCCATAATGTTCACAGTTAGCAGGCAAGGACAGGAGGATTGTGAGCTTGGGGACAGTATGCAATAATAGTGCGACCCTGCCTCACAAACAAACAAACAAACAAAAACAACCCGAAAAGTAAAGAGGAGGCTAGGTTAAATTCTGAAACCACGCCTGATCAGGCACCCGAGAATAACCATTCTATGTCCCTAGACAAGTCTCCTCTCTTCCCTGAGCCACAGCTTCAGGTTCCTAAAAGAGAACATGGGATCCACTTTGATCACTCACTCCAGCTCCAAGACCCCTTAGCTTTGGGCAAAATATGATGTGACCCTAAATGGCCAGACACCTCTTGCTAAGAATAGTCCAGCGTGGTTCCCGTGACTCTCCCACTAGGGCGGAGGGTAGGATCATCAAGGCTGTGGAAAACAGCCGGAGTCCTCAGATCATAGGAACGTGGCTCTAACTGACCTGGTCTTCTTCCTTCCTTGGCCTCTTCCCCCAGTAACCTGGAGAGCATCATTTCTTTTCCGGGGGGAGAGAGCCTGCGGGGCTTCATCCTGGTGACAGTCTTGGTGGAGAAGGCAGCAGTGCCCGGCATTAAGGTATCCCCTTACTTCATAGCACCTTCATCTTTAGTCAAGAACTCACCCTGTCCTCTCCCTATGGTGGTTTTCCCCACAGAAACAGACACAGGCCTCCTCCTCATAGGGATGACTAGGAAGGAAGAGATCTGAGTTCTAGCCTGTGGTGTTTCCTTTTAGCCTGGAGTGAACCAATTTCTCTGTCTACACACAGGCACCACGAGCAGGGTGCAACAGACACCACTAGCTGTCCCTAGCTGTCACTGTGCTTCATGGCCCTGCAAAGGCTAGAGTCCCGTAGGTCAAAAAGAAAAAGAAAAATCTGCTTTTATCTGTTTTATGAAAAGACAGATAAAAGAAAATCCATACTTGAAGGAGCAGGCAAACTTGGCCCACTGAAATAGCAACTGAATTAAGACCTGAGTTGCGGATGGGGACATATATTTATTTCAAGATACCAACTCTTCAGATATGCAGAAGAAATGGTCTCTTCCAGATAGCAGGCATCATTGAAGTCACCCAGGTGACCCAGACCTGAGGGGCCTCAAAATTCATTTTTTTCTCCCTTTCAGATCTCACAGGTTATAGCAGGGCAGGGTATAAGACAATTGACAATAAACCACGAGCTCTCATATCTGACGTTTAGATTAATATAGATTTATGGCTTTACTGAATGCCTGCTCTGTGGTGGAGTGCCAGTGATGGCACAGAGGGAGTTGTGGACCTGGGGCATCTGATGTCTGATATCACACAAGAACTTTGCAGTGAGACTGTCCCAGCTGGGGATGCCAGAGTAGAAACGACCGTGATATGGGAAATCCAGAAGGAATTAGAAAACACTAGCGCTGAGGCCCATGATGTCCCAATTTATGCCAGAGATATTTCAGCAGTGTGGGCTGCTCCGCGGGGATCTGCATCCTGCGTGGGTTTTAGTGAAAAATTACTTCACAACACCTGAACTGAGAACGTGAATCTCATTCCTAGGCTCTAGTTCAGGGAGTGGAGGCCATTCGGCAACACAGCCAGGACACCCTGCTGGAGGCTCTGCAGCGGCTGAGACTCTCCATCCAGGACATCACCAGAGCCTTGGCCCAAATGCATGGTAAGATGCTGGAGCCTCCAGTGGCCTGCCTGGGCAGGCCTTACGTGGATGATGGTGATTCATCTCTCCACAAGATGGCGCTGGTGTTCTACCTTTATTTTTCGTAAAGCACCCCAGAGAGGTGTTTTTTTTTTTTTCCGGTTGGCAGAAATATTTTTGTAGAATCGTTCTTTATATTTTCGTGTGATTGGGGTAGTTTTCCTTCTTCAGGGTCCAGATACGCCTTTGGCAGGCTGAGCTTTTGCTGAAGCCTAGGAGATTGCATGGGTCGCAAGGGGGATGTTGGCTGGTTGTGCTTCAGACTCTCAGGTTGGGCTTGCTGGTGGTCAGGGCTGTCCCATGGAGGTGTCTGCAAGCCCCTCAAAGCCATTTGCTTCTCCTCTCTGTGGCTTCTGAGACACCTGAGCCTAGCCTTAGGCTTTTCTGGCCAGTACCAACAGGAGTTGGTGCGGCAGGCAGGAGCAATTGGCACACCCTTCCCTGATAGGTCAACTCTTGTTCTGGAGTTACAAAATGTCTGGCAGGCTCTTTAATTTTCACGAACACAGAAATCTACCAGTTGTGCTTGCTGAGAGTTGAAGGCAGGATCGAGGGATGAGCGTGGCCCCCCTTAGTGGGAGAAAGAGTCAAGCACCACTTTCCCCGAGTCTTGGTTTCCTAAGAGGAAGATTCAAGGCAGTAGTGTCCATGAGGCACAAGGGAAGAAGGAGAAGGTTTGTAATGTTGTCACCTTATGAGAGGCTCAGTGCTGTCCCCCTGAGATCACAGGATCACTCATTTCTAATATTAGTTGGTTTCCCAGATGGTGAGATGCATCTTAGCTTTGCCAAGACACCCTGGGATCATTATTCTTAAGCATCTCCAGATGTTGACCAATGGAGTACTTGGGAAGATTTTGGTACTCCCCAGTAAGTAACACTATGTACTCCTTAGTCACACTGTAGTGTCTAACACAGGCTCCCCCAGCGATAGTTTTTGATAGTTTTGATAGTTTACAAGCCCAGAAAGACCTTCGTGATCCTCTGAAGGAGGTCCAAGGATCCAGGGAGCTCCCCAGTATACTCCTTCCATCCCGTTTGATCCTAAGACAAGTTTCCCTATCCAGTGGGAGTTTCAAGGTCTCAAAACTAGCTGTATCCACACACATGGGGAAGGGGAAGGACATGTGTTCACACTTTTCAAAGACGACAACAGCACCCTCCATACCATCCCATGAGTCCCTCAGTGTGGGCAGGCCCTCCTCCCATCTCAGGATGGAAGATATATCCCAGCCTCTGACATTCTCACAATCAAAATAGGGCAATAGTGAGCACAACAAGTCCAAAAATGGCCAGTGAGTTTTCACCCCGAGTGCTGAGGCACCATGGGAAACTCAGTAATCCTGGTGCTGCCAAGTAGACTGGCAAATCAGACAAGGACACACAGCTAAGGACCTAAGGGCCTTCTCATGATTCTTCCAAACTGAGCCCACTGTGGTGCTGAGGTGCAGAAACAGGCCACCACCACCTTGCCTATGCAGGCACCTTGCCAACAGTACAGTGTCACAGAGAGAGGAGTGGGTCAATATACTATAACAGTAACCATAAAAGAGAGATTATGTTAAAAAAAAAATCAAGTGCTGGAAGGCACAGGTAGGGGCTCATGCATGTCCTTGGGACGGTGTCTGGTCTGCAGCTGCTGCTTTTGTGTATGGTTCAGAGAACTTAGCTGGGTGGATTCCCTCTGTTCCCAATCCCCCAGATAGATTTTACCAGATAACCAATCGCTGTTTTTAGAGACCAACTTGAGCAAAGCATCCTGGGTTTACTCTTTCCCTCAGGACAGACTTCCTTCCCAGGCATAAAAATGCCTTTTGTGGACATCAGAGGCCCACTGCGCTGCAAGCCAAGTCCCCAGGCCTTTGCCCAGCTTAACATAGTTGTACAAATAAGGTTTGTTTAATGCCTTTTGCAAGCAAAAGTTCTCCATTGAAATATGGTCATGGGACTGTTCATTAGTTCTTACATAAGAAATGGTTCAGGAAGAGCAGGTTGGAGATATAGTACCCCATACTTTCTTCTAAAGTCTTTATCCTTTGTACTTAAGTTCTTAATTCATCTGTTACTATCATCTGCATATACTATGAGATAGGAAGTGAATTCAGTTTCCCTCTTGCAGGTAACACCAACATGGTCTCTCGTTAGATTTTGTTAAAGGAGGGGGTTTTCTGCGGTGGCCTCTGCTGTTTCCCTTTGGGTGTGTCTTTCTCTGCTCCTTGTGTCCTCAGACTCTTCTTCCTTTTCTCTGGAACATTCCCATCTATACTTTTCTCCTTCAGGGGCCAGCCTATCTCTCAGGAGCCATGAAAAGAAAAACAAAAAACAAAACCCTAAGTTGGGGACTTTGCCCAAGCTTCATCCACTATGGATTGTGGTATTATATCCAATTTCTACCTTATGATAGGAAAGCAGGCAGAGAGACAAGAGGCAGCATAAAATATTAGCCAGCATTTCCTGATGACCCCTTCTAAGTCATTTGTCGCAGTTGCTGGGTAGTCTTTATTTGTCACATGCTATCTTCACCCAAAGACCCTTCTCTGGTGTATGACACCCTCATTGGCTATCCAGTTTCTTTGTGTGTGAATGCAGTGTCTGAGTCTGTGTTTTCATGTGCAGGGTAACTTGTGTTTCTTTCAAAGTAAGGCAGATGCCGAAATTCTGTTTTAGCAGTCGTTATTTGCAATTTTGTGTTTAGCAAACA